GTTGTCACACAATCTTTATAAGATAGTTGATACAAATAGATGGTAAAAATTGCATTTTTTGCAAACTGAGTAGCTAAAATGTTTTTATTTTTATTTTTTTACATTGTTTATCTGTTAGTTTAAACAAAAATTTAGAGCTTCTTTTAGAGATATTGTCACATCCCACCCCGGACCCCCACCACATCCCAGGCTCGACTCCATCGTAGCACGATATTGTCCGTTTTGGGCCCCGACCATGCCCTCACGGTTTTGTTTTTGGGAACTCACACGAGAACTTCCCAATGGGTCACCCATCCTGGGATTGCTCTCGCGCAAACTCGCTTAACTTCAGAGTTACAATGGAACCCGAAGCCAGCGAGCTCCTAAAAAGACTCGTGCTAGGTAGAGATGAGAATATACATATAAGGCTTACAAGATCCACTCCCTTGGGCAATGTGGGATCTTACAATCTACCCCCCTTAGGGGCCCGACATCCTCGTTGGCACATATTTGGCCAAGGATTGGCTCTGGTTTTGTTTATGGGAAGTCACACAATAACTTCCCAGTGAGTCACCCATCCTAGGATTGCTCTTGCGCAAACTCGCTTAACTTCGAAGTTACAATGAAACCCAAAGTTAGTGAGCTTCCAAAAGGCATCGTGCTAGGTAGAGATGAAGATATACATATAAGGCTTACATGATCCACTCCCTTGGGCGATGTGGGATCTTACAATCCATCCCCTTAGGGGCCCGACATCCTCATCGGCATACATCCGGCCAAGGATTGGCTCTGATACCAAATTGTCGCATCTCGACCTGAGCCCCCATCACATCCTAGGCTCGACTCTGCTGTAGCACGATATTGTCCGCTTTGGGCCCCGACCACGCCCTCACGATTTTGTTTCTGGGTACTCACACGAGAACTTCCCAGTGAGTCACCTATCCTGGGATTGTTCTCGCGCGAACTCGCTTAACTTCGGAGTTCCAATGAAACCCAAAACCAGTAAGCTCCCAAAAGGCCTCATGCTAAGAAGAGATGAGAATATACATATAAGGCTTATAAGATCCATTCCCCTGGACGATGTGGGATCTTACATATGTTCTAAATATCTATTTATATATTTATCATTAGAATTTGAGCCATTAGTCACTTACATACAATAAAAGACATTTCAATCGAGGACATGTTTTGCTTTTTTGACCATCTCTAATCCTTGGGTTAAAACCTAAAATTTTTTTTAACGTATAAAATTTAGGTTTTAACAAAAAATTATGTAGACCATCATAATTTAATTTTATGAACATTTTTACCTAAAAATATTTATATTTCGATAAATATTAAAAAATCAATAAACCGATGCCATGAAACTACATAAAATTAATACAAACGATAATTAATAAACCGACACCTCGAATTTGGGCCAATATATATTTTTTAATGTAAGATTGATCATATTAGATCTTAGCCGTTTGATTCATTGAATTTATAAATACAAAACCAATTGATTATATTAGATCTCAGCCGTTTGATTCATTGAATTTATAAATACAAAACCGAAAATTAAATAAATTTGAATATAGACCATTAGATCAACCAACCGTCCAAATTCGTTGATCGTCCGATTTGTTAAAGAGCCGTTGAACCTCATTACGGTGGCCGACATGACCCACGTACGTGGTGCCCATCCGTGTTAGAGCATTGTGTGTAGAGAGCGTTGGGTGAGTGAAGCTCGCTGCGTCTGAACTTTTTCTAGGTGCGGCCACTCTCATCTATGGGCCAACCCACTAACCCAGTATGGAATCATGGCCGGAATTTGCCCCAAAATTGATTTTGGGTTAAACTCATTTTGAGCCCAAGGGTTGGAGCAAGTTGGTGTAGGTTTAGAACCTAAAATTTGAGTTTTGCTCTAAGCGTTGGAGCAGTTCTTACGATTTCATAATAGATAGATTGACTATTTGATAAATACAAATAATATAAATATAAAAATAAAATGTCAACTTAGATAAATGATTATTAACTTGTGTAAGGGGTCATTTTGCACATGTGTTTTTCTATGTTTTGATTGGAGGATCTAAATTCTAATAACACTTTTGGGGTAATGTTAGGTAGATCAATTTATTATCTAAATGATGTGTCATCAATAATAAATAAGCACGTTATGCAACACTTCAGTAATAATTTAATCATCAACAGCCACATCATTTGGTTTACAAAATTTGGTTTAAAAGTTTGGTATTCTAGCAGTACCCATATTTCTATTTGTGCCTTGTAATTATGAAATAGAGTATGGGAGAAGTATATTAATCCTGATAATTTATATATAACAAATTTCCTTTTAATAAAATAGTGATATTCATATTCATTGGTAAATGAGAGATATTAGGTTTGATTTCTTCAAAGGCGAATTTGACTCATTATTGCTAGCTATTGTGAGTCTTAGTTTACTCTCCCACCCCCTTAGTATATAGATAATATTGTTGTTCAGAAAAGAAAAAATATAGTGAGATGAGCTATTATGGATCCCTAACTTTATTTCTTATTGTATCAAACCAAAACCTCTATATTGATCTCTACCAGTCTTTTATCAATTACATACTTTATTTATTATTTATTTCTTCTGTCATGTAAAAAGAAAAAAAAATTGAAAAATTCAATATATACTAAAACTCAAATAGGGTAAACATCCAAAATAGTCACTGAGATTTGCATGATCAATAGAAATTGTCCTAAGATTGTCCACCATCCATAATTTTGGTCATTCCATTAAAAACTCTTTGGATAATTTTCAAAGCTTCGTAACTCAATCGATTCTTAACTAAATTCGACTTATAATATATCCAAATGAAGATAAGAAAGTGTAGAACACGATATACCTATTTGGAAGCCCAATGATTGCCGGAGATGGCCGAAAAATAGCCTGAAATGTGACTGTTCCGCGGGAAAACTAGAAAACTCTCTGGAAATTGGGTAAACTTTAAACGTTCATAACTTCTTCAATACTCAACAAATTGAGTGATTCAAAAATGAAAATCATACTTCTCGACGAGACGAAGAGAATGACATCTTTCTTGACTGCTAACTCGCCATGGTTTGGCTGGAAAACTGCTCGAAAGTGGCTAACTCGAAAATGGTTAGCCACTTTTGAGCCGTTGTCTGACCAAACTACGACGGGTTAGCCTTCAAAAAAGGTACCATTCTCTTCGTCTCATCAATAAATATGATTTTTGTTTTTGAATCACTCGATTTCGTTGAATATTAAAGAAGCTATGTGATGAGTAGATTTTATATTATATATTTTACCCTAATCTTAGTATATTTTGGTTAATATATTGGAAGAAATTTGATACTTTGAATTGTATTTTCAATATATGACTTTCGACTTCCTCTGGAGCAAAACAGGACCAAATGGATGAATTTTGGAGTAATTCCAGTTAAAAGAACGTTCGTGAGTCACTTAGCTTGATCGTATCAAAATTTGGGATTTTTCCACCAAGCGGTTATTTTCTGGCGATGAAATAAAGAAGCAGTGCACAGTGCTAGAAAATGACGTTTTTGGGCTTAAATTGCGTTTTTGGAGCCCAAGATGACCTCAGATGGGTTCGTGGCCTTCTGAAAAAGTGTTCAGAATATTCCAAACATTAAATCCAGCTATATTGGGCCAGTTTTGGAGCAGCTTATGGGTCAAAACGTGGTTGTTCAGATTTTAGACGAATTTTTATCATTTAATTTAGGATTATGTTTTCTAGGGTTTTGGTGGTGGCTTGACAAATATATTGCTTAGCCGTTTACAGTTTTAGGAACGTTTTCTTTTATGCAATTTTGGAGACAGAGGAATTGTTAGGGTTTTGAAGATTGTTTACTTGAAGGTGCTTTCAATCATTTTCTTGAATATATTTTCTATGATTTCAATTATGAATATGCGGAACTAATCTCTTTTGCTAGGGCGAAGCCTTGAGCCTTAGCAGGAATATGTGATTTTTATTTAATTGCTTATGATTGATTGCATGCGTACTTTGAATTGTTAATCACCGAGATAAAAACTATCTAATTGTTTTAATGCCTGATCACCATTAGGATTTTTAGAAAAGTAATTTGATGCAATTTTGATCGGAAGGTTCCCTGAAATTGACATTGGCTTCTTGTGATTAATAATTGTAATTTCTCTTAGGATGAATATCACGTCTTAAGGATTGCATGGTTTTTCAAAAGATTTTCATAGAGCATAATGAATCTTTCATGTTTAGATTTGATTCGAACGTCCAGACGGGTTGCATGTTAGATATATGTTATATGTTGGAGGTTCCAAGTAGAATATGAATTAGGAAAATCTAACCTTCAAAGTTGCATGTGTAGATCATAAGTAATGAGTAAAAATTCATAGGATTGCTAGGTGATGGTGGAACCCTAGTGCTTTCTTAATTTGATTTTCTCAGAACTGTTTTCTTCTCTCTAGTCCTAATATTGCAGATTGTTTATTTTAATTCATTAAATTCGTTTTTATTTTAATTGGGTTATAAAATCAATCACTTCAATTTCTACTTTACAATAATTAAATGGAATCTGATTAGTTTGAATTATTTAATAATCCATGTGGAGATGATCTTGCGAAATCCGTTTATACTACAATAAGCTTGTGATTCTTGCAAGTAAAATAGGAGATTTAAGCCCGTTCACATAAGTAGTAAAAATCCTATCACTATGAACGTTTAAAGTTTAGCTAGTTTCTGGCGAGTTTTCAAGTTTTTTCGCGGACCAGTCACCTTTCAGTCTATTTCCAGCCATCTCCGTCAGCCATTGGGCTTCCAAATATATATATAATCTTATTCTAAATTTTTCTATCTTCATTTTGATATATTATAAGTCGAATTTGATTAAGAAACGATTAAGTTACAAAACTTTAAAAATTACCCAAAAAATTTTTAATGGAACCAAAATCATGAATACTCAGAGAGCATTTCTATTTGTCATGCAAATCTCAGTATTTTGGACGTTTACCCAACACAAATATAAGTGAAAGACGGTTCATAAGTTTTTGTTTGTGTTTTTCCTTTCTTCTCTGTTCTCTCTCTTCCCTCTCGCTCTTCTCTCCGTGACTCAGCTAGCGAGGACAGAGAGCTGTTGACGTCCGAACACCGGCGAATCGGACCTCATCGTTACCACCAGTCGTCTCCCCTTCATCTCAGGAACAAGAAACAGCTGTTGCATGCCTCGGATTGTTACTATTTCGACGAGGGTTTACGAACTTAACCCCGATTGTATTTTCCATCTCTCTCTTTCTGCACTTTCGATAAGTTACGGTTTTTCACGTTCTTTTGAAAGCACATTGATTTTGTGTTAATTTGAGTCTTTATGTTATGAATTCTGATATTTTTCGTTTAATTTGGGTTGTTGGAGTTTCGAATTTGTACCCTGACTTTGCTCTAATGAATTTTAATTTCGTCTGTTATTGGTGGGTTTGAGTAAATTTCGAACCTTTTAATTTCGCCGTGCCCACCATCAAGTACTTGATCGGCCTTGGCGCCAAAGTTATCCTTGCTTCTCACTTGGTAATTCATGGCTTCGATTAATCCGCAATATTCCTTACCATTTTTACTATTTTAGAATATGGATTCTGTTTGTTTGGGAATTAAATGTATCGGTTTGTGTTGGTTTGTAAGATTTGTGTGTTTTGAATCTATTAGTTTCTTTATTGAAGTTGTTCTGAACTCTAAAAATTACTGATTGGATCTACTTTGCATGATCAGCTTGGATCTTATAAGTTTGATTGATAAGGATTGCGATGGATTTGCTGCTTGATCAATATTGATCAATTTGAAGATCCCCATTTTGTTTTACCATTCTATATGTTTTTTTAGTTATCGTATTATTTTGACCATATTATTTGCTTTAAGTTTGTGCCCAGTATTGGAGTTTCTGATAACTTTTAGTTTACTTGTTTATGTATTCGCTGATGTTGCATCTTAGTTAGGATTGTGTTTGTCTTTGTAAGGAGATGGAGATCGGTGACGATGATCAGGAGTTCGGCGCTGTGTGGATGATCCCGGTGTAGGCTCTGGTTTTCAAACTCTGGTGATTTGTAGGGTTTTGGGGGCGTGAATTTTTGGGGATTTCATTTGGATTTCTGGGTAAGCAATTGTCAACTCTATTCAACTTAAATTTAGTTCCCTTTTTTTGTTTCTCAAATTTTTTTGATGGAAAGATTGTTTACTAAACAGTTGTTAGGATCAATAGTTTTGATTTCTTGTGGACTTATTTTTTATTTTATTTTGAAGCCCTGAATTTTGCAAGGACTGTCTGCCCTGTATGTACACCAGATGCTCCTGACATTTCAAATAAGGTAACTTCCCAAACACTGATGTTTTTCTTTTTTACTATTATATGTAATCTATTGGGTTCTGTAACTTTACTAATATTCATTTACTATGCAAGTTAAATTGTTATTTTTTCGGTTTGTCAATAATTTTTTTTTTCTACTCTACATCATTGATTAAGATGTTGCCATGTCAAGGAGTTCAAGTTTTGCTTAATAGGTAACAGTTGTTTTTAAGCTTAGTCTGTAATCTGTATGGTCTTTATCATGTCGTTTATTTTGGTGGCAGTTAGGTGTCACTAGATGGACTACTAAAGCAGCTAAGGGTATTGAAATCAGTTATGCTTGATTGGTGGTGGGAAATATGCATGGTGGATTCGATCAAACTCTATTTTCCTTTTTTTGGGTTTTATTAGTTTATATGAATTTTAATATATTTTATAAATGAGTAATGAGAAGAAATTTTTTTTTTAAAAAAAAAATTACCAGGTTAATGCTGGGTTTTATGTTCTAATTTATGGGTTTTGGTAAAAAGAGGTTTAGATATTTAGTTTTGATTGCTCTGTTTTATTTGCTCTAGGGTTTTGGAGAGTTTGAATTTGGGATCTTGGAAAAGCGCAAGAAAAATATTTCAATCAAGGTAAGCGTCTCCAAGTCTTTAGTTAAACCAAGGACTGTCTACCCACTGTGTAATTGCTGATCAACTCTATGCTGATAACGTTTAAAGTGTTTTGCACATGGCATGGAGGTTGTTATTAATGATTAGACCAACAATTATCCACATTCTCTAAGTAGGATTTCACACAATATGAAGTAAACCCAATACTTAGAATTGTATACCTCTTGGACAAATTAAGCACCCTTTAGTGTGGGTTTTATATGGGATTTATCTTTTCTGTGTTTGATGATTGTAAATTGCCATGTATGCTTGAGATATGGTGTTCAAGAAGAGGCTAGATTTTGAATTTAATGGCTTCATAATCAATCAGTTATTTCATTATGTAATTATCTCAACTTTATTCTAAAGTATTTCTCTTTATTTCTACAACAATGGTTTTAAGGAAATTAGTCGGTACTCATTTAGTTATTTGTTAGTATGTTTTCTAAATTAAAAAATTCATGATTTGTTCACTGTTTGATCTTTCCATGAACTCTTTATATCTCAATATTGTTTCTACTTCTCGGTGTTTCAATATATTTGTATTTAATTGATTAAATTTGTGTCTTTACAGTTTTAAAAGGAAGTTTCAAAGTGTATCTGAATGCAGGACAAGAGAATAATGTGATGAGCCTCAAGAACGGTGAAGTAAGAAATTAAGTCCTGAGAAGTAAAGCATGTGAATCAATTAAAGGAAATTTAGAGCTTTTTCCTTAGTAATTATGAGTTTTGAGTAGTATAATGATCAATATAGTGGTTTCCTATATACGAGAGACTAATCTCAAGGATTTCAAGGGCCAGGTATTTACGATTCGACAACATATCTGTGAGTTGGCTTTTATTTCCAACATATATATGATGTGTTTATATGAAATATTGTGTTATCATGCCATGCATTCATTTGTGTTAGTACTTATTCTGCAGTCGGAACGAGCTTCACGTGTATGTTCACACTCATGCACTTACACTCAGAATGGATCCATTTAGTGCAAGCCTATACTAGTTTGCCTTAGGCGGGTGTAACACGCTTAGCGTGAGCTTGACATGATTATAGTACTTGAGCGTAAATTTATACATAGAGCTTGTTCATGGTAGAATATATCTCTGCATGTACTCGTACTAAATTGGTGTGTTTTTAGTTGAATAATGATGTAAATTGAGCTTCTTTATGGGAAGTTACTTGTCACATTGACATTGATATGCTATTGTGCCTCAGAAAAGAAGACAAAGGATAAGCACAAAAGTAAACATCACAAAGGCGATCGTCTCTCGGTAAGCTTTCTTATCTCCAATCCTGAATAAATATTTGGTGTTTCAAGTGCTCTCATCTGTGAACTATATATACATAATATGGAAGAGGCCTTTAAAGGAAGGAATTTTCATTTTTTTTAAATGGGGATTTGTTGTGGGGATTTTTTTTAAATGGGGATTTGTTGTGGGGCCCACACCATATCGAACTTTAATGATCCGAACCGTATATTTTTTAAGTTGCACCTCTTAGATCATTGTTACATAATAGTAGCAAAATCGAATAATTGTGACATCTCATTGAGTTCAAAGAAATTGACGAACACTTAGTTTTATAAAAAGCAATGAAATTTCATTGTGATAATTAAATAAGCAAATGGTTTCAGATTGAATCGAAATTTTTTAAGGATGATCTATGAATTTACTTACAAAATAGACGGTTTGAATCGTTAAAGTTCAGTAAGTCGCACAACTAATTCCCATTTTTTGAAAAAAATAGAGCTCTTCCCTTAAGCTGCCTGATAACATGCATTCTATATGTACCTATACATCCTTAGTGAAACATATTGATTCGAATGTACTCAATCTTTGTGGCTTCCAATGATGCAGGGGGCAATCTTCATGAACTTGTACTTTCCAGTTCGAACAAATAATTTTAAATTCACTTGGAACTTTGGTTTGTAACTTAATTTTTTGCTTTTCGATTTGTAACTTATTTTATTTTGATTACATGTTTTTTTTTTTAATTTAAGTGGTTTGCTAGTATATTACTAATGATACATTCATAAAATGATGAGCATGATTTGCTACTAGTTTGTTGGTATAAAATTAGAACTTGTGTAAAGAACCGTGGTGATAAATAGAATTTGTATGTATTGGGCTTAACTAAATTGGTATGGATTGAGCTCACCAAATTGGTATGAACAAAATTGGGCTCAAAATTAGTTACGCATCCAGTGGCTACAAATTTCATCCCAAAATCCATATAAAATAAAAAAGCCTAACAAATTGGGCTTGAAGGCTCAATTCAGATTCCAAACCGAAAGATCGAAATAATTTTGGTATTTTACCGAGTTTTGAAAAAACCAAAATTTTGGTTTGGTTTTGGTATTCAAGCTTCGGATGGGTATATAGAATAGAGACAATCGTATTTTTTACACAGCACTTGAATATTATGATTACGCGACACTTCCAAGAGTCTGGGAGCATGCCTTGGTTTCAATCAGTGGTGAAGCCATAAATTGTGGGAATGGGTGAAATTTAAAATATATTCGCCACTACTGACATATGCTTGTCCTGCAAGAAAAGGCTGCAATTTGCAAATTTTTGTATGTCATTCCTGCAATGTGCATCTACACATTTAAGTTGTGCATCAGCTTTCATACTACAAAAATTTCTAGCAGATTGTTCATTCCAGCAACTTCAACACAAATGCGTTAAAACCAAAAGCACTCAAACAATTAGTTTTCTTCCATATTACATATTTTCAAGGGCCATTTCCGATATCCAATCTCTCATTTTAAACGCTGCAATAGATACAAACACTTGTCATAGTTGTTATAAACCAAGAAATAACAATTCAGCAGCAGAAAGATTCTCTCTCTCTCTCTCTCTCTCTCTATATATATATATGTATATATATATTCATACTTCAGTAATTGACTGTAAATGGTAAAAGGAAATGAAATGGCATAAGTAGTTAAACCACACAAATATATTATCCAAAGTTAGAAAGAAATTGCAGAGGTGAAACATTCATGATTCAAAGATACAAGGTCGTGCGCAGTAGATGCAGTCTTCATTTTGGCATTTCGTCAAACACCACCTTCTGTTCGGGTTGGAGGGGCGTATTTCTTGCTCCCCATGGGAAGTTCCGATGACCGAAGGTGTTCTGTGCAGGTTAGAGGGGCGTATTTCTCGCTCCTCATGGGAATTTCCGATGACCAAAGGTGTGGGCGCACCTCCTTGCGGTGCTCTGGCTTCGCCAATGGTTTCGGGTGCTCTGGCTTCGCCAATGGTTTCGGTCTTCATCTGGATATCCGGTTCGGAGTGTGTCGAAGATGCTTTTTTTGCCGTGAAAATTCTTCTGGAAATCTTAACAGAAATGAGAGCCAACACTGTTGCTGATGGCACGAAAAAGACGTCAGGAATGGCCTTGATCATTTTCAGCTGGGGCACACTCTCCCCTGCTCTTTTAGCAGCCATGGCTACCGGTGGCGTTACAACTCCTGTTATCACGGTAGCGTTATCGACCTTGCTTAGCCTTACATTGTCCTTCATAAATTGGATGAAGATGTTCCTCCTGTCTTGCACTTTGGCATTTTCCCAACGTATGAACATATCCTGCTAATAGTTAGTGTGTTAGAGAAGAGAAGCTTGGCAAGTGAAGACGCACGGTTAATTTTAACTGACCTCGATTTCCTTGCGCAACGGCACTTCGTAGTGTTTACCGGGCAGAGAAGAATTAAAAGTGCTGGGTAAGATTGTGTCAATGGCAAAGTATTAGATGCTTTGTGTGATGGTACATCTGATGCAGAAACACATACAAGAAACTTACAATTGAAAAAAGAAGAGGCTTATTTATAGCTTGATATTCTTTGTCCAAAATTTAGGAAATCTAATGAAATTCGGGTCGTAATATTTATGCTAGAATATGATTATGGCTAAATAAAAAGAAAAAGACACTAGAGATTAGTTGTATGTTTATAACAATGTGCTTTAGGTTAATTAAAACAAGTGTTCTTTCCGTTGTGGCGATGTTTTCATTTTTCTCAAGTATGATCATGTGAAAACTGGAAACCATTATGAGTGACTAAAATGGTTACTGGTATAGTTGTGAAAAAATGGCCAATTTTGGTTGCTAATGCTGACAACAGTTAACAGGGCTTTTTGAAGTAATAGTGTTTAGGTGATTTGAGTTCAGTCTTGTATATTATTATTCAAAATCACGTATTTTACTTCTCGCTGTACTTGTATAATAAGCTTACTTGAAAATATCGAGAATGGCGAACTGGAATTCCTCAAAATTTTGGATATCTTTCTTGATGAACTGATCGTACAGCGTTGCCATTAAAAAGTTTAGCATCCGGCCGGATGGTAGCCCTATAAACAGCTCAAGATCATTACAAAAGTTGTATAAAATTATTCAACATAGTATCTTCAACAAAAGAAAGAAAAAACTACTGCAAAAAGAATTAGAGAAATGAAAACAAAGTTTGTGAGAGGACAAACACGAAACTAAAAACTCCGGATGCAAACTATATAACATGAAAAAGAAAATGAACCAACCTCCTCCCAATCCCATGAAACTCATAGACAGTCCCATTCTTTAGAATCCCGGTACCAGCAGGTCCAAAACAATGTGTGTATGTATATATATGTATTGAGAGAGAGAGAGAGAGAGAGAAGACTGAGAGGTTTGACGGCTTAGTGAATGTCCAGTTTAGTAGGTGCAAGCAAGGTATCTGATCTTAGGCTTTCCAATTTCCATCCTCATTTGAAATCTGCTTCTTATCTTGGAAGTTTGGACAATTGCTACCTTAGGATAGGCATCTGAAGTTGTTCCCTATCTTGCAGTTGCCTAAACATTCCTTCTTTCTTGCTTAATAAGCGAGCTGTTTCGTGAATGAGTTTACAGAAAAGTTATGGAAGTGGTACGATCCAATTCTCAATTCCCTTAATCAACCTGCAAGTAGCACAAGAAAGCTATGGAAGAAGAGGGAAGGAGAGATGAAGGAGCAGAGCTCCAAATATATTTGTATTTAATTTCTTTCTTGTAAATTCTCATCTCATTACAATACTGATAGCTAGTGCTTTTAAACAAGTCATGACTCCTCATGCCAGCTAGCAATTATAACAAACTCCACTAAAACAGGAATAAGCCTAATAGTCCCAAGAATTAAACCCTTAATAGTGATTAAGATAATCACTAATTACAGATCATATCAGGAAGTCGCTGCTAAAATGGAGAAGTCTTTGCTCTCCGTTGTATGCTTTACTGTATAACTTGATAAACACTTAACCTCCATGTATACATGATAGACTGGCATGGCACGGGTTGGGGTCTCAGTTCTTAGAAAAGTGCTTTTTGAGAGTTCCACCGTGATTAGTGATATATGCATGTTTTTTTCTCTATACTGATATAGTCATAAGCAATTCACCCCGTTTCTATAAAATGATAAAATCAATATGAACCTTCCCCCATCATATGGTTCAAACTCTGCAGCAAGGTTAAATGTATAGCTTCTGAATGCGTATGCACCCTGTGCCCAGCCGCAAACTCCTCGATTCTACCATCAACCTCTATGACACTACAACCAATCTCCTTGTTTGCTTGATTCCTCCTCATCAACCTCTTAATTTTCTCCGCATCACTCCACCTTCTCTTTCTGGCATACAAATTTCTAAGCATTATATAGTTTCCGTCATTCCCTGGCTCCAGCTTGGCCACCTTCTTTAAAACTTCGTTCGCTCTTGTGACATCCCCATAATGGCCGCATGCAAAAAGAAAAGAACTCAAAATTATTCCATTAGCATCATAAGGTATGGCTTCGATCAATTTCTCAACTTCTTCCAAGCATCCCGCCCTTCCCAACAGATCTACCATGCAACCATAATGCTCAATCTGTGGGATGAGCCCGAAGCCCTCCATAGCTTAAACCACCTTTTCCCTTCCTCTACCAGACCACAGTGGTAACAAGCGGACAAAACCCCGATAAACATAATATTATTTGTAATAAAGTTCCCTGTCTGCATATCCAAAAATATCTCCAGTGCCTCCTCGCCATGGCCATTGACTGCAAATCCATTTATCAGAGTATTCCAGGAAGCTGTTTCTTTTTCAGGCATCTCATCAAAAAAGTCTCTTGGCTTTTTTAATTTCACCACATTTTGCGTACATATCAACAAGCGCAGTGCCAACATTATTTATCCTATCAAGCTTCTTCCTCCGTACGACCTTTTCAACCCAACGACCCAAATCTGCAATAGCTGGAAGAATGCTCACAACAGTCACACCATCCAATTCGAGCGATGTAGTTGACTGCATTCCCTGAAATAACTTGAAGGCTTCATGGGGTTGGTTGTTTTGACCATAACCTCCAATCATCGCATTCCAAGAAATAAGATTCTTCTTAGGCATGGCATCAAAGAGTGATCTAGCGGAATGTATGTCACCGTGATGGGAGTAACCAGAAATCATACTGGTCCAAGACACCACATTCCTATCCGTCATCTCATTAAACAAACTGCGAGCCGAGCCCATATCTCCCAGTTTGACATAACCATCAATCATCGCGTTAAATGCAGCCGAGTCCTTGTCAGGCATTTGATAAAAAAGCCTCCTTGCATTACCCATGTCTCCAGACCTTGCATACCCACAAATAAGAGCTGTCCACGACACTCTACTCGTGTGCATCATTTCATTAAACACCTTCCTTGCACAAATCATCCTCCCAAACTTTGCATACAGAGACCTAAAAATTTTGAGAAATTAAAATGATGTTTAGGATTAATGATGTATTGTTCATTTCAGATGTTGATGTATCTTGGTTTAGATGTAAACTAATTATTCATTCGAATTAATGAAAGTTTACAATTCCACAATTTTGTGTTTTCATGCTTTGTTCAAGAGGACAGCATACTATTGATGTATTGATGCAAAGACCCTTTAGCACTCCGTCATCATATTTTCATTCATATACTGATTAATGATGTTTAGTATTCTGGCTTAATATTTGTTAACTGATTCTTCATTCAAATTGATTAAGTTTACTTTTCTGCAATTTTGTGTTGTTATATACAAGGATCCTTTTTTTAGGACCTCTTTTAAATGCATCAATGTGAGAAGTTAAGACCTCTTTTTTTATACGAGTTGATAACACGAATCACAGTTTAACAAAACGAAGCACAATATCGCAGAGACTATAGATTTAACATCGATAATATAAGTTCAGTTTTCTGTCAATTTTATCTACTAGTTCTAGAAATCGTATGATAGACAAATAGGTTTGGAGAGTTTTCATGTTGTTTTGGTTAAGGGCTAATTGTAGTAGCAGATCGCAAATGGCACAAAAGCTCTGCATTACAAGTATGCGAGTCACCTCATGTCAAATGATCTGCCAAAGTTTTAATGGAAAGGGGTCTGCATTACAAGTATGCGAGCGGAGGTCTATGGTAACATCTTCCAATGATGTTTTTGATGGAAAGGGGTCTCCTGATCATAGAAGACATGGCAAATTATGTTGGAATTTTTGGATCGCTGGGCCCGCCTCACTCTAACGACACCGATACTGTCCCCACTTAACCACCTGCACAATCCTCAGGTGTGGGGTTTTACCACAAAAGGCCTCGGTATTAGTTAGAGTGGGGTAATACTATTTAAACCCCTTTGGTTTTCTTCACCCCACCGATGTGGGACAGTTTAACACTCCCCCTCACGTGTAACCTCATTTAGTGGTTCACACGTGGAGATCCACATCGGTGATTGAAACTCAGAGGTCGGCTGACGTTGGGCCCACTTGTTTTCAATTGGAACTCAGCGGTCGTCTCTATATTAAGAGCTCAGACTTGTTTCCTTCCGGGTGGTGACAAGCTCGTTGGCTTGCACGGGCCCGCAACCGTGGGCTCTGATACCATGTTGGAATTTTTGGATCGCTGGGCCCGCCTCACTCTAACGACACCGATACTGTCCCCACTTAACCACCTGCACAATCCTCAGGTGTGGGGTTTTACCACAAAAGGCCTCGGTATTAGTTAGAGTGGGGTAATACTATTTAAACCCCTTTGGTTTTCTTCACCCCACCGATGTGGGACAGTTTAACAAATTATGTATGTGAGATTTTTTTTTTTTTTTGATAGGCTCAAGTTCGTTGTAGAAGTTGAATTGAATGGAGAATACTAACAAAAAAAATGGAAAAATACTAAACCTGAAAACTAGTTAGTCTAGTGCTCTCAGTTAAATTCAATACATATGTGGGCGGTTCTGCGATCAAATCTTCCTTCTGTGCAACTCCATTAACATAGAGCCATCCATTACTAACCAGCAAGGAGTTAGAGGAAATGTGTCTAAAATTTACATATGGTAAAGAAGAGGTGTGTGAACTGTATATAGTATATACTTGCGTTTCAAGTATCCAGTTTGCTACCGAAAAATCAACAAAGTAAGGGACTTGAGTAAACGTTAAACCATTGTTTCCACTTGGCTTAGTTATATGTCTATACCACACGAAGTTGTGAACCTGTGTTGGATCCCGGAATGTCTCAATATCATGCATAGCAGGACTTCAAATGTAATAAGAGCCCTGGAATTTATTTGAGGTAACCACAATGATAATCGAAAGTAGAAGCATACAAACGTAAGTATTAATCGTGACGATAAACAATATGGACAATTGTTGGATCAAAAGGGGAAGAATATATACTGTGATTAGTCTAATTGCTTGTTTATTATTATTAATCTGCAATCGAAATGGGAGGAAAAAAATAGAGTTGCAAATTTGGACATGTTAAATTCTTTGGGATTTGGGAGGGTAATTTATTCAACCGGTTCGGCTTTTCGTGCAAACCAAATTCTTCCAAGTTGCCCACACTGCCAACACCGATTTCTTCCCCGTTTTATTTGGGATTTAATTTGAAAAATTAGGGTTTGTCTGCGCAAAAATTAAAGTGGATAGTCGATGGCAGCAGCAATGTCAATTAATTGCAACGGTAAACTTTTATTTCTCAAATTCAAAATTCAATTTCTACTTTTCTTTAATTTTTAATTTTTTTATAAATAAAAATTGAAATAAAAACCGAAAAGGAGAAAGCTTGCGGACCACGTCTCCTAGTCCTAGTAGAATTAAGAATTCAGCCGTGAAACCCTAATAATATATATATATGTGATATAGAAACCCTCAAAATTCCATTCTCTCAGTTTCCAGTTTCTTCTTCCTCATCTTGATTCGACCTCTTTTTCGCATTGTCTTCTCCTTCTTCAATTGCTTTGCGTTCTCTGGTTGTCATTCGTTCTTCTTCGATTTCGTTGCCTTAATTCTCCGAGTTGTTTGAATCAATGGCTTCCAATTTCAACCACAAAAGCATAATACCACCGAAAGTCAAGTGTGCCTTTAAACCCAGCAATCCTCGTATGCACGGTTCCAAGAAATTTAAGCGTTTCCGCTTCAGAAACCTCCCACAAGAAGAATCTCAACACTTTTCTGCTTCTTCTGGTTCTGAAATTAAGCGTTACGATGACCCTTTTGAGTATGAGGCATACAGTCCACAAAGTGTTGATTGTGCTTGTTCTCCTGATCATTCAGGTTATGTAACTTGCGAGCCAGAAAGCTGTGAACTTGATGACGATGCTGGTTCATATCTCCCAGAACCACAGCAAGGATATGAGCAGGACAAAAGCTATCATGATCACGATAGCAAAAGCTCTCAACTTGATGGCGATCATGATGAATTCTGTCATTTTGATGATGATTTAGGGGATGATGACTGTAAACATGAATACCATGAAGTTATTTATCCAGAACCAGAAGAAGACAATTATGGAGAACCTTACTTTCCAGAACCAGAACAAGAATATGATTACTTTTATGGTTCTCAAGTCAAGCCTTGCCATAGTCGTTGTAATGCTGATGATGCCTCTGCTTCGGTCGATTCAATCTGCGATTCATCTTCTTCACATGAAAGTGAACTTGAATATAATAAGACCTATGATGACAAAGCTTCATTCTACTCTGTGAGTAGTCCGGATCAGCCATTGTATCCCCCGAGACCTGCAAAGTATTTTGACTGCAAGCTGTGTGTGAAGATGGCTAGAGAGCTGGTGGTGACTCAATGTGGTCATTTGTTTTCTGGGGATTGTTTGAACAAGTGGTTGTACTTCTTCACTTCTGAGATGCAGTGCCCTGTTTGTAGGAGCAACGTGCTTGATTACTCCATCATTCAGATTAGCCCACCACCATGGTGGCAGCAGAGACCTTCAAATTATTGGAAAGTTAAGATGATGCTCAGGAGTAATGATGTATAATTCGTTTGAGATGTTTATGTATTTTGGCTTAGATGTAAACTGCTTATTCATTCAAATTAATATAAGTTTACTTTTCCACAATTTTGTGTTTTCATGCTTTGTCCAACAAGACAACATATTTTTATATTTTGTGTGTTTGTTATGACATCGTTCTGTTAATTAATGTGTCCGAGTCTCTTGAATGGCTTATAAATTTGTTCTTTTGCAATGAAATTCTGGTTACCACCCTTTACATTTCCTGCCTCTTTTTGCTGTGTGTTTTTCTTCAGCTTGCAATCTCTCTGCAGAGTTCTCTGAATTTGATTTTGATAATGATCCTCAAACAGAAACTTCATCCTTCTTCGAGATAACTGCTAACTTACTCTGGAAATTTTGTCTTACACATGCATTGTTGAAATAAAAATACAGGGGAGTCTTCTGGACTATGGTTAAAATAAAAGATCTATTAGACAAAGGGTTCAAAGTGGTTGAAGTATTTACGATACATAATTCAGGAATGAGAAATGCAAGTGTGCAACTGGAAAATGCACTATGGAGTCGGTACAAGTTACATGAATTTGCTTTTACTCCATGTCATAGTCACTGTTTCGTTTCAAGACCGAAAGGTCAGACACTTGAAGGTTGCACGTTTCAGTGTTCAACTTACGGAGCTACAATAGTATATTGGCATGAACGAAAGTAGTCTGCAATGAAAATAATGTAGAGTTAGTGACTTACAAACTGCGTGGGATCGATTAAATTGATAGTTGTATTCAAACTCCAAGGGATCCATGCGTTCCATTAGCTGCCTCTTTCAGCCAGTTAATCTCTTTTAAATATGTTATGAAATTCAATAGGGTTGCTCACGAAGTAGCAGCTTTTGCTACTGAGCTTGTGTTCCCTCTTCATAGCTTGAATACTATTATATGTTCGTTTGGAACTTTGTTTATCCGATTACAGAATAAAAGATTGTTATGAGCCTCAATTTTTAACAAGTTCTTGATCAACACCATCAGTACTTTGTTTCTGTAACAGGCAAATCTATACTGAATTTCACGCAGCCTAATCAGCGCACACGTATTGAATTAAAGAGGATAAACAACACGAACATCTTTATAAATATCTCAGAAATGAATTTATTTAACTAGGTCTCTCAAATCATGCATAAATAATCGTTATTTCAACAGGAAATAATACAGAGATGTTTATTAATACAAGGAATGATCATGTATTGGCATGATCATGTAACACTCAAAGCTTTCTCTTGCTTTATTTCCTGCCCTTGATCACCTCCATCTTAGCTGATGCTGGTCCAAGAAAAAAAGAAGCGAAAAGTTAGCAAGTTTATATATATATATGTGCGTGTGTGTGTGTGTGTGTGTGTGTGTGTGTGTGTGTAAGCGAGATATATAAGTTAATTAGGGTAAGAAAATAAGACACTCACCTCTGGCAGTTGGTGGTCTTTGAGATGGGGATATTCATTACAATCCCACACTTGCCTGGGAGAGTAGAAGCTGTAACTTCGTCAACACTGGGGAAGCGGTTTGCCGCTGCCTTACAACATTCACAAGCGGCCTGCTTATCAGCTGTGGTTTGGGCGAGGTTCTTGATGTTCTGCACCCCTGTGCAGCAAGCTGGGTCAAGATTACCCCGTTTGGTCAGGTAGGAAACGCAAGGCGCTAAGTTCGAGTCCACCTGGCCACAAGAGACGACGGCCTCTCCTTGCTGCAGCATTAGGTGAGCCATGGCTAGTATAACCAACTTTGGGATCACAATGCCCTTCATCATTTTTCCTAGAAGTGAAAAGCTTGATAGCTAGCTTGTGCGTTTGAGCTTGTGCTTTTGCGCTTTTGGTTGTGGAAAATGGATGGCTTGCCTTGCATGGTGTACTAATAGCCGTTTGAAGATAATGACCTAAACAAAAACAGTTACGAAAATTTGGCCTTTCTATAAGTCACTTGGATAGTAAAGGCTAAAGAGGATAAGGTTTGGGCTAATTTTAGTTACTAGTTTGCAGGCTTTATACTGTTCAATGTGTCATGCCCTTCTGGCCCAAGTTAACAAATTCTCTCTTTTAAAGAAATTTTGTTTCCATCCAAAACCACCCTCAGTTCGTACTTGATAATGACTCCAACTACAAGCCGGCGGATGATTCTTTTTAATAAAAATGGTCAGTGAGATTTGCATAATTCTTTAATTTACACGATCACGTGACTACCTTTTTAAGGGTTTGTTTGTCAAACCAACTCTTTCAGTTAACGAGGATATTAATTGATTTTTCATGAAATGACTAAAATGATTTATGGTGGACAAACTCAAAGACTACTTCTATCAATTTTCATTGTCAGAGACTAAAGTAAGTTGTTATTCCATTTTCAGAAATCATTTTAGCCAAATACCACTTGGGATTATCACAAATATATTGCTTGGGATTATACGTATATCATCTTCCTTCGTTTGAAAGGAATCATATCTTTTTAGAAGTGTGTATAGATCTTCATGTATAAAATAAGTATGCCACATCAAGATTCAAATCTTTTAGGCAAAAAAATATTTAAGGTCTTAATAAGGGTCCGTCACTCAGTATTACAGTCTGATGATATTCCTCTTTACTTAGAAGTGAGAGGTCTTAGGTTTGAATTTCGTTGATGGTGAATTTGATATCAAATTAGGCTACTCATTATGTGGCTTAGCCGAATTCTCCATTCTCTTAGTGTAAAAATATCGATGTACAAAAAAAAAAATAATAATAAGGGCCCAAGCTACAATTTTGTATGTTTGTGTACCAACTTTTGGACAAGGCAAATATTTAGACAAGAATTACCATATGATTAAACTCACAATCTAGCCGATGACTTATGTTATATTGTGCTAAGAGAAAATTAGCCGACCGATGGCATCAAAGATTCGAAATTATGTATTTTAATAAGCCCAAAAATAGATTAATATATAACGCAAAACTAAGGTTGTATAACCATAAAACTTTTTTATTTCATTTGAAATCGTATGTATATAATTCTAATTTCTTGCTCATGTTTTCGTTATGTACGTGCGCAATAATTTCGTGTAGAATATATATATATATATATATATATATATATATATATATATATATATTTAGATATCTTTTTATTATATATATACTCACGTAGTTTCTTTAAAATATTTTCTCATTTCTTACATGGCTTAATGATTAGCTAAATCATACATTTTAAAAACTCCAAAATACGGTACACGTACTATTCACGTATTTGGGAATTAACTAGTATTTTGGAATTAAATTCGCACACCACCATTTAGTATACGAACAATTGTCGGCCATCTACAAGAGATCATAAAAGAACCTAGGTACCGGGGAGGTACCGACCAAGGACCCTTTGACTATTAAGTTACGATAGTGTTTACAATGTCAAGTAGTAGAATAGAGTGTAAAATGTGATACATTTACATTAAACCCTAAATGGCGTATTTATAGTGTTCAATGAGAGTCCTTATGAGGATAGAAATCCGTATTAAAGTTGGGAGAATCCTAATAGGAAATCTGGGAAGATATTCCCTTTCCATTAGGCTAATAATTACTTGGAGCACATGCTAATTCCCATAATAATAGGAATTCCCAAGATTTTCTCCTAATAAAAGTAGGATTAGGAGTTATGTTCCTCGAGGGCCTAGTAGGTCTCTACAATGGTGGCCCTTGTCTACCGTTTTGGTGCCTATTAGATTGATTATTTTGATAGTACCTTTAGACGATCTGGTCCAGATCATATAGGTCATTATGACCATGTTGATCTAATAGTTTAGACCCCGAGGTCCAAGTCTGGATTCAAATCGATCCATTTCCCTGGATCCTCTATTCGTTAATTGGAGATCCTGTAACATCCCACATCGCCTAGGAGAGTGTATCCTGTAAACCTTATATGTATATTCTCATCTCTACCTAGCACGAGGCCTTTTGGTAGCTCACTGGCTTCGGGTTCCATTGGAACTCTGAAGTTAAGTGAGTTCACGCGAGAGCAATCCCATAATGGGTGACCTACTGATAAGTTCTCGTGTGAGTTCCTAGAAACAAAACCGTAAGGACATGGTCAAGGCCTAAAGCGGACAATATCGTGCTACAGTGGAGTTGAGCCCGGGTTGTGGTGGGGGCCCAGCTTGGGATGTGACAATTTGGTATTAGAGTCAATCCCTGGTAGGAAATGTGTCGACTAAGACGTCAGGCCCCTAAGGGGGGTGGATTGTAACATCCCACATCGCCTAGGGGAGTGGATCCTGTAAACCTTATATGTATATTCTCATCTCTACTTAACACAAGGCCTTTTGGGAGCTCATTGGCTTCGGGTTTCATCGAAACTCTGAAGTTAAGTGAGTTCGCGCGAGAGCAATCCCATTATGGGTGGCCCACTGGGAAGTTCTCGTGTGAGTTCCCTGAAACAAAATCGTGAGGGCGTGGTCGGGGCCTAAAACGGACAATATTGTGCTACGGTGGAGTCGAGCCCGGGTTGTGATGGGGGCCCGGCCCGGGATGTGACAGATCCAATCTTCATTGCTTCATTTTCCTTGTCCGGCAATACGAAAATCAGGGTCCTACAACGTATATATGTACTTTTTATGTTTAGCACACTGCACATTATTTTTAAACATTTTTGTTCATATATGTAAAATTCATGGATTCTATACGTATTTTAACATAATCTCCCTCAATATTACCTAGAAGCTCATTTAATAAGCCCAGTTTGAACCAAATTAGTTAATTTTTATGTTTTGAGTTCAAAAAGTAATTAAACAAATCACAAATTGCTTATATAAAGAGTATTGTTGGACCCAGAAAAGAATAAGTTAACATTTCGTTTTCAATTTTTTGTTTTTAGTTTTCTAAGTTTTATTTTTTGAAAACTAAAACTAGTTAAAGTTTTCAGCTTTCATAAAATAAAAACAGAAATAAAATGTGAAAATTCAAGTCCCAACTATTGAGTATATCTGATTGCATAGACTTTTATTTATTTTTATTTGTAGAGAGGAAACATGGGGATTTCAAACTTGATTGCGTAGAAATACTTGGGAATAAGTGAAAAATCAACTCTAACCAACCATGTTCCCTCATGCACTAAAATAGAAAACCTCTAGGATCCCTCTCTCTCAGTATGAGCCAGTCACAATAATTTGGTTAGAATTTGTCTTTGACGAGAATCAAATTTAAGACTTCTCAATTATAATTGAAGAATAATAATTTTGAAATATGAGAGAGGTTGGAGAAGAGCATATGAGCATTAGTTAATAATGGGTGAAGTATGTTTTTCTCTCCCATTGTGAGAGTCTCTCTCCTTCCTTGTGAGAGATTTTCTAGCCTGTATGCTGAGTTATCTTCCGATTTCATCTCTTCTGCCCTCGGTCCTTGCTAAGGCCTGGGTCAGTGGTTATCAAATTTAGTTTTCCCAGCAATTTTTCCGTTGACTGTCTCGAATCTGTGCTTTAACTTTTCAAATCCTAAGCCATCAATTCCATTTTCTATTCCCCATCTTTCCCATCCTCCACCTCATTGGCTTTCCTCAAACCCATCAGATTTCGAATCAGTAGCCACTTACCTTGAACGCGTTTTGATGAGATAATCTCGGGATGTTTGTAGAGCTTTGGTGCAGATGTTCACACCACCACCTCTCATGGGTCAGGAAGTGCATTTTATTTCGGTTCGGGTATTCACACCACTACCTCCCATGGATTTGTCTTTGACGGCTTTGTTGCCTTCGGTGACTTTTTTGCTTATGAGTTATTTCACCAACTTCCTTTGGTTCGTTGTTATTGTTGCAACATCTATGGTGCTTTATGAAGGTTGGTGTAGTCATTTTCCCATCATTTTTGCAGAATTGTTTGGTTGGATTTTAGGCATTTGTTGGGCAGATGCTTTTGGCGATGCATCGGTAGCGGTCGCAAGAAATTTAAGGTTTTGTGTTCCTTTTACTGTTTATGGGCTCAAACCTTTGTAAATTTTAGTATGTTTTCAGTAATAACTCTACCGCTTTTACAAAAAAAAAAAAAAAAAAAAAAAAAACAACAACAACAACGGATGAAATGGATGTTGGGCTACAATTGCAAAAGTAGCAGTTGGAAAACTAGCTGTTATACTAGCTAGAACAAAACGTAGCTGATATGAATAATTTACCTTTTTTAAAAGTTTTTTTTTTAATTTGAAAAAGTAATAAAATATGAAGAGATTGTTCAAATAGAAAGTGTTGCTGAAGATGTTATGTTAAACTGAGGAGTAGTGCTACACTTATCATCTATTTGTATCATCACTTGTACTATCTCTGTAATAGAGGTAGGGTTCACCAACACATGTGAGTCTCATTAGAGAGTATATACAAATAGATAGTGAGAATTGCATTTTTGCAAATTGAGTAGCTAAAATGTTTTATTTATTTATTTATTATTATTTTTTACATTGTTTATTTGCTAGTTTAACAAAAATTTAGAGCTTCTTTTAGAGATATTCTAAATACCTGTTTATATATTTATCATTAGAATTTGGGGCATTAGTCACTTAGATACAATAAAAGACATTTCAATTGAGGATATGTCTTGCTCTTTTGACCATCTCTAATCATTGGGTTAAAACCTAAAATTTTTAAAGCATAAAAATTAGGTTTTAACCTAGAAACAGTTTTTCAGCACTAACCTTTATGGGTTAAATATGTAGGCTGAGATTATTAAAAAAAAATTAGGCTAATTTTTTTTAAAGTACTTTAATAAAAATTATTTAGACCATCCTAATTTAATTTTTTGAACATTTTAAC